TTCATGTGAGACACATCGATTGGATGCCTCCCACACGACCCCAACAAGGACCGGGGTCAAACCTGCAACCCAGGTACATGCCCTTGACCAGGGATCAAACCCGTGGCACTTCAGTTCGTGGGCTGATGTGCTAACCGCTGAGCAAAACTGGCCAGTACTCTTAAAATAACCATTTAAGAGCAGCTATGGTTTGTAGATGACCTGCAAATATAAAGAAAAGACTTGGGTTTGTTATGATATGGTGACACTTTACCACCTGTTGGCCACCCAGGGAAGGGAGAGACATGAGATGTTGGGTGGTGGTGGGTTCTTGACTAAGGGTTCCTTCCCCAGGCCTTGCCTTCTACTTGGGGAGCTTGGCCCTCATCTGAATGCAGCTGCCAGGGAGTCAGGACTCAGCTCCGGCACAGGGGACCCTGGAGGAGCAATGGCACTGGGGACTAGATCCGTTCTGATCCGTCCCTCCCTCCGGAATGGTGTGAGCCTGCCCAGAACACTTGCAGTCCTAACCACTTCCACCGAGAGAAGCACAGTTCATAGCTTGGAAGGGAAGCTCACAGGTCAGTGCGGTGGGGTCTGTTCAGGTCAACCCATGGTTCCCGCCCACGTCTGATTCTCCTTGGCTGAAGGTGGTTCATACAGTATCTGGGTCGCTGCTTGGCTCAGAGTGCGCCGGACGATGGCAGCGAGCCGTGGCTCACTCTCTAAGTTCTGGATCACATGCAGATCCTGCACCCTCCTCAGCCTTAGGGGACCACACCAGCCTTCGTGTGGTGCAGTTCCCGTGGTCTTGACCACTGGGCCCGGATGCTGGCATTCTAAAGCATGGCTGTTCCTTCTTCATTGTCTGATCTGCAGCTGTTTTCTCCCTGGCTGGTAGCAAAGAGGAGAGCAAGTCCTGTGTCAGAGGAGCCCAGCCTCAGGCACCGTTGTGATGGAAGATGACAGCATACAGAGAGGCCTGTGGGGGAGGGGAAGGATGAGTGATGAAGGGACTGCCCCTTTTCTTAGACAACATTTTTCTTGGTATAAAAGCCTTCTCATCAGGGTCAAATGTAGGGCTCGGTCAATAGTCCAGGTGCCGAGAGAGAAGGGAAACGCTTTCAGCCATGTAACAGCACTCCTGCCCGAGTGTTTGAGAGCAGCATCCTCCTGCCTGCTCCTCTCCTTCCTGGGCGGTGGGGCGCCTCTCCTTGGAGTCTCCGGGGCACAGTGTCCACCCCTCTGCCCTCCGCTCCATGCCAGCCGCTGGGTGGCCGCTGCAGCTCCACTCTCACTGACAGAACAGTACCACCGCTCCACTCACCGCCACCTGCTGGGGGGTGGCCCTGACCCCCTGGTCCCTTGGGAGTGTGCTCTGGGTCTGGCCCTTTCCCAGCCTTCAGGTTACTGCCTCTCCTGGGTGCTCCCTTCCCCTCACTTCTCTCCAGGACGCCTTCTGGCTTCCTGCACTTAAGGTCCCTGGTGAACCCAGGCTCCCAACGGAGGCGATAGGTCTCTGCAGGGATGAACAGACACACTGGTTGCTGCTCGATGATGCGCTGGCCTCTGAGACCCTGCGCTTCTGGAGGACAGGGATTTTCCCATCGCGCGTTCCTGATGGGAGCTCAAACTTGGACAGTGGTGAGGGAACGGAGTGGCTATAGTTGCCGATGGAAGCGATTGGTGGCCTCGTGGCTTCCCTGTTCTACTGAGAGTATCGTGTTCATAGATGGGGGCTGAAGGTGTCACTCCCATTGCATGTTTTCCCATTCAAAAGTCTCTTACCCCACTGACCGCTCCCAGCCGCCTTGCGATGAGGCTGGCAGGGCCCGTTCTTGCCCAGTTGTCCCACCATTGCCTCAGACTGAGCTCGGCAGCTGCCCACAACAGGTGCCCCACTCCTGAGAGCTCCCAATCGCGCCAGCCCCAGGCTCCTGGGTTGTAAATATGATACACCCTTGACTCATGTTTCGCTTCATGCCAGCTCCCACGGGTCCACCCAGCTTGCTGTTTGCCAGGTACAAAGTCATCACTGGGCAGGGGGCCCATGGGTCTTTGTTTGTTTGTTTGTTTGTTTTTTGTTTCCAAGGGTCATTTTTCATGGCCCTTTTGCTGCTGGGGGATATCGCCTGGGCCCTCAGGGGTTAGTACCTCCTAACTGCTCCCACCTTTCACCCTGGTAATAAGGCCCCATGTGGGGCCAGTCTGCTGAACCAGGAGCTCTTCCTTCCTAAAACCTCTGTTGTATTTTTATCTGAGGTCACTTGATTTATTGCTCCCTGGTATCCAGATCCCTGAGGTCGTGGGTGTGATTGCCAAGCTCCTCTCATGAAGTTCCCTTGTCATCGTATGTGGAAGGTTTTGACTCATCATGAACAACTGGACGCTCCTGTATAATCTTGTCAATCATTTTGACATTTGCCAACTCCATCCTGCCTTTACATGCTTCTCTAGCTTTTATGTACATCCTCCGCAGGGAAGCAGCATTCTTCGCCTTGTATTCTAGAAAGCTCCTACTCATCTTCCAGACCCCGGAGAACTGCATACCTGCCTCTTCCAGCATGCCTCACACTGTCACGATCATCTGTTCACAGTTTCGTCTTCTGCTCTAGACCACGTGGCCCGTGGGGACAGACTAGGTCTGACTTATCAATGTCCCCCCGCAGCCCACATATCAGGGTTCAGGGCATGTTGGCTGCATGCATCCATTCGTTTATTCACAAGTATTTACTCACAGACTTCCTGTGCCAGGCACTGGGCACATAGGGGTGAACAAGGCAGAGAGTCCCTCTGCCTCCATGAAGAGGGTTAGCAAGGCAGCAAACATATGGACGAGATGCTGTGTACTTGCTGTGCTTGTTTAGAGGGGGGCGTGCAAGGAAGGCCTCTCAAGATACTTCGCAAGTAAGACCTGAAGGATGAGAATACATCAGTGGTTCAGGTTTTGGAGAAAGTGAGCTCTGGGCAGGTGTAAACTTGGACAGGAGACTGAGGATGAGGAGCAATCTGGCCACGCCTCTTTGGTAGATCACCAGAAGGAGTTTAGATTTTTTACTGGGAGCAGTGGAAAGTTCTCAGAGGGAAGAATGTCAAACTTTTACTATGTCAGGTGGCTGAGCAGGTGTGAATCTGTTGAATACTTTCCTGCTTCTGCTGCATCTGTGTTCCTGCCTCTTCTTCCGCCCCCCACCCAACCTTGCTCCCATCAGAACCACAGTGTTTGCTCTGCAGCCTCTGGGCTGCTGCACTTAGTGGACCAGTCTGTTCCTTGTAGCCGTGCCTGGCTCCTGCCCTGGTGCTGAGGTGCCAGCGAGGCTCCACCCTCTCTGCAAGCCCCTGTTCTCATTCCCCTGAGCCTTGTGCTCCCAGGACTGCGGAGGCTCAGCGCCTGTTTCTGAGCCTTCCTTGGCCTTTGCACCTATGAATCCCCTCCCCCCACCCCCATGCACAGTTGGCTTTCTTTGTCATGATTACCTCCTCCAAAAGAACCTGACTCTTGGGGTTATCTGGGTTCTCCGTCCCTGAGTTTAAAGTCTCTCATCCACTGAGCTATCCTGGCACAAATACATCCTGAGGTTATCTCCTCACTTAAAAAAACAAAACAAACAAACAAAAAAACTAACATATATTGAGTCTTTACTACTCAAGGGATTGTACTAAGCATTTTCTATGAAATATTAATTCTTCATTTAATTGTGACATCAACCCAGTGAGTTAGGTGTTGCAATTATCCCCATGTTACAGATAAGGACACTGAGGCTCAGAGCTCACACAGTAAATGGCAGAGCTGGGTTCGAGCTCTGACTGTCTCCCTGCTACTGACTGGGATAGCCCAGTATGGTTCTGTGTGGTCCTAACATTCACCAGCCCCAAAGTGGCTGCTTCCTTTCCTCTCTCCTCCCAAGGCCCAGCGTCACGACACAGAACCTCAGGGCCTCCTGGTCCCTGACCTGCGCCATTCGCCACAGCACTTGTGCCCATGGGGCACACACCTAGGTTTTGCTGAATGAGCACACGAACAGCAACTCCTACCTAAGCCTCTTAGGATTACAAATGCTGCCATCCAGGGAGTGGGGGATGCAAGAAAGATGAAAGAAGCTTCAGGAAGACAGTTTCGTTTAAAGACTTTTCTGAGAGGCAGCGTGGTCCGGAGATGGAACCGTTTGCCACCTCTCCCATTAGAAGGGAGATTCAGTATTAGGGGAGTGGCTGGGCCCTGTGTCCTGGGAGAAGTTCTTCAGGCCGGGTTGAGAGAGAGAGAGGAAGGGGCAGAGAGAGAGAGAGAGAGAGAGAGAGAGAGAGAGAGAGAGAAAGAGAGACTGTTTTGTTGTTCCACTTAGTTATACATTCATTTGTTGATTTTTGTATGTGCTCTGACTGGGATGAAGCTTTAAGCAACAGAGCCCCTGGCCGGGCCCGGATTCTGCACCTTGAGTGGTGCTGGGTAGAGTAGAACTGAAACTAGGAGACAGTGCTCTGGGTTCCTGGGACAGCACTCTCCCCTGACAGTGCGCCCACAGCCTTCCCAGGTGCGGGGCCCTGGCCCATTCGAAACAGGCGGCAGCCGAGGCCTCTCAGCCTGGATCTCACCTGCCCAAGGAAAGTGTTGCAGGTGTGAGACAAACGCTGCTGCAGACAGCGCATGCCTGCTGTGGCCCATTGCTGCAGGGCTCGTCCTGAGAGTCCTGCTTGGGAGCCTTCCCCAGTGGTGGTTGGAGCTTCTGGAGCCTGGGACTGGAACCCTGGTGAACAGTGGCAATCGCTGTCCTGGGCTACAGGTGACTCTGGGGAGCCCGGCGGCTTTTCGCTGCAGAGGCCCATGGGACCGTGTGGTAAAGATTCATGGAAAAAGAGCTCCTGCCAGCAGGGGGAGGCCACAGAGATGGCAGGAGCCGCAGGTCAGCGACCAGGACTCGTGTGCGAGCGCTGATGCATGAGGGCATAAGCGGGCTTTGCGCCTTGTGTGCATAACGGGGACCCTCCGTAATTCTTCCTTTGTTCTGTCTTTGAATTTCCAGTAAGAGAAGGAGGAGACCAAGCAGGGAGACGGAGCCATGGCTTCTGAGGCCAGTCACGCGCTGGAAGCTGCCCTGGAGCAGATGGACGGGATCCTTGCAGGTACTGGAGGGAATGCTGGCGACCGGTGGCTCACGCCCCCACCTGGCCCGAGAGACTGTTTTCTCTCATTTTCCTTTTCTTTACCACGTAGAGAAAAGCCTCTTGTTGGCATAATTTAATTTTTTTGTGCATGCTATCTCTTTCTGAAGAGTCCAAACTTCTGCAACTCTGATATCTGGTGTGAGTTTGGGTCTCTTCCGAGACAGGGGGGATTAACATGTTAGCATGCGTGTAGCTGTTACAGTGTGGACCCTGGCCGCGAGGCAGTTTGAGTGCAGTGGGACTGATTTGCTGTAAATTCTTCAGGGCACATCATGGCTTCTTACAGTGGAGCTGCAGCTCCAAGCCTGGCGGGCGCTGCCACCCGAAGCGGGTGTCGGCCCACTCCCCAGCGGCCTCGCGTGTCGGAGTCAGGAGGCAGCTTTGCGTCTTTCACCTCATCACCCAGAGAACGCTCATGCATCGCTTCTTATCCATCGCCGCTGTTTGGCTTCTCGTTTGCGTTGGCCAGTTAGGAACATTCTCTAGAAAAGACCCAGCAAAACCGGTCAGGAAAGGGCTGCCAGTGGGCTGTTCGGGCCCATGAACTCCTTCACAGTGGCAACCAAACCTGTGCTGCTTGGAACCAACCTGTCGTTGAAAATCTTTCGCCAAGGGCCCAGGTCTCCTTCCTGTCTTACCTGATGCAGGTCAGTGGCCTGGTCTACTGGCTGGGCCTGCTTCTTGGGGGCTTTGCTCCTCGTGCCGTGGAGCTGTGGCTGGAGGAGGAAGGTTTGGGCCGAGTGTGGCTGGGGCCTCGGACATGCACAGGTGCCTTCCACTCTGCAGAGACACCTCTGCCTCGCTAGGGTTCTGGGTGTCAGCGCCTGGGATGGGGGAGGCTGTCTGTGTGTCAGCTTCTTTGTGTGATTGGCGGCACTGGGACATGTTCTGGCTGTCATCTGTCAGGCGCCTAGTTTCTCAGGGAGGCTAAGGGCCCTTGAGAGGCTGTGACGAGTGTCTCCACTTTCCAGAGGCCCCATAGATTGGGATGTCCAGTTCTAGGTTAGGCCCCTGACACCCTAGTAAGAGGAAACAGTCAAGAGTATGGATTTCCAAGCAAACTTCTCCAAGTCTCACAGGAAGCCCCTGGGGCCTCTTGTACGTCAAGATCAGAGCCACAGGCTCAGAGGCTCAGACTGGCGTGGGTGTCAGCACAGCTGAGCCCTCAGCCAGGGAGCAAGGAGACTCCGAGAGAGCTCCTGGCAGAGCCCGGAGCCCGGGGTGAGCTGTGAGGAGGGAACGAGACACCTGAAGGAGGCAGCCTGAGTGCGGCCAGCGCCTCTTCCTGCCCCCGACTCCTCCGCACGGGCATTCCTAAAATGACAGAGCCTCTGGCACAGTCCTCTCTGTCTCCGAGACGATTCCCTGTTCTAGGCACCTTCCATGTGTAAGCAGTGACGCTCTATGGAATTACTATTCCCATTTTAAGTATGAGGAAACTGAGCCGCAGATCTTACAAGTTACTGGTGGTAGGAGTTGTAGAGCTAGGATTTGAACGAAGCAGTCCTGCCTCAGGATCCTCAGGCCTGCCTCGGTCAAGCATTGGGTCTGCAGGTGAGGATCTGGGGTGGGTGTGGATGGAGTGGCCCCGGGTGGGGCTGTGTGGAACCTTCTTTTGTTTCCTCAGCCCTTCATCCTGGCAGGTTCTTTCTGGAAGGGCTTCCTGGGCCACTGTCAGGAACAGGTGTGAGTTTCACGGAGGGTGGTCTAAGGCATTCTCTGCAGATTAGCTGGGAGGAGCACCTGTGGCCAGACTGCTTCGTTCAAATCCTAGCTCTACAACTCCTACCACCAGTAACTTGTAAGATCTGTGGCTCCGTTTCCTCATACTTAAAATGGGAATAGTAATTCCCTAGAGGGTCACTGCTTACACATGGAAGGTGCCTAGAACAGCTCCTGGCTGTAGTGAGCACTGTAAAGTGTTAGCTCTTGATACATCAATGAGAGAGAAAAATCTTTATCACGTGAAGTTTTCTCTAGAGACACACTAGAGTTCTCATTTACTCAGGCCCCTATTTGACCCCTTGGGGTTTTGAGGTTTTCATTGTGTAGGGCTTGCACTTGCCGCAGGGGCTGCCCAGGGTCTAGGTTAACAATATTCCTCTGAGTGGTCTTTGCTCTGTCCCTGCCCTCTTAGAGGGTGTCATCCACGTGTCATCCTTCAGACAGACACCAGCTCACATCGCTCCTCTCCCCAGACTCTTCAGTGGCTTCTCATCTCAGGATAAAATCTAAAGTCCTCTCCATAGCCAGCAATGCCCTCGGATCTGCCCTTAGGCTGCCTTTACGGCTGCATCTCCTACCACGTTCCCTCCAGCTCATCCCCGTTCCCCGGGCAGCGGCTGTCTCAGGGCCTGTGTCTGCTGTCCTCCCTGCTGGAATGCTGTCTTCCAGGCGCATGCCCATCAGACACCTGCTGGAATATCGCTGTATCAGAGAGGCTCCCCCGACCCCCTCAAATAGAGCACCTCCCCCACATCACTCTCTGTCCTCGTATCCTGTTTATATTTCTTTATAGCACTGTTCACCCTCTGACCTGTCTCTGTGTATCATCTGTCTCCTGCACTGGCGTGTAAATTCCATGCGGACAGAGGCGTTGCTGCTCACCGACTGATCTGCCTCGAGGGGTCTGCAGCACAAACATTTGTTTCGTAAATGTGTGTAAAGTATGTTTCATTGGCTTTTCTGACTAGGCTCTCCTGCTCGTTGGTTAGAAGGCAGTGATTGGTTTCTGTACACATCCTCTATCTGGCCGCATGCTGAACGTCTTTTATTATTTCTCTACTAGTGCCTTTGCTTGGCTGACTCCTTTGGAATGACAGATCACTAATTATTTTGAAGACTCGATGGTTGGCATGTCCTGTAAACCATCTTGAGTAGTAATTGGCTCATGCAGTGTTTGATAAGCTCTATTTGACAGATACTTCAACACGGAGGTTATTAGTGAGTTTCTGGAGGGCATATGTTCTATGCTGTTTGTGATCAAAAGAATGATAATTATCAAATGCCTTTGTGCTGGACACGGCCTCAAGATTGTTAAATCATCCTGATTTTCAAGATGGTTGGGCCGAACTGGACCAAAGAGATTGGGAATTTTTATGGTTCATGAAGACTACGGAGTTAGACTGTTGGGACTGAATCCAAGCTCAACCACTTCCTGGCTGTGGGATCTTTGGGCAAATTGCTTAATTTCTTTGAGCCTCAGTTTCCTTATAAGTAAAAGTGGTGATAATAGTACCTATCCCATATTATTGGGATGATTAAATTAACACAAATAAGGCACTTAGTAAGGGTTCAATTCATGTGAGTTACTGCTCATTCGTTGATGTTTGTATTGACCTTATTGTTCTTACCACCCAAGGTCACAGTGGTAGTAAATTGCGGAACTTAAGGTTTGAATCCAGGTCTATGTGAGTCTCTCCTGGGCTCCTTTTATTCCTGTGTCAGTTTTATGATGGTGTGTAGTGAGGCCCTGGGGGCTCTGTGGGGCTCTGCAGAAGAGTTCATTGCGAGTGAGTTCATTCTGCTTTTGCAGTCCCTCAGCTGGAGTGACATTGCTCTCATCTCCCTCACACATTTATTAGACTTTCAAGTACGGGTTTCTGTGTTAAAGGGTGCACAGTTCTAAGACAGTTTCCGACTGTCACATCCATGACACCACACCCTGCAGAAATGACATTTTTGTGTGAACATTTAAATCATCCTTTTATTTCAATTCTCTTATTCACTTGAAGTCAAATGATATCAAGTAGTGCCTGTGCTATCGAAATACCGTTGCTTTGGCGTCTGTTAGAGTCCTCAAAGGAGTTCCCAAGGGCTGCATTCTCTCGCTTTACGAAAACACAGTCTCCACTCATTTCAGTGGGAGAAAATTGTATGGGCTTCCTGCACACCCCAAATAGCAACCCTTTATGCACAAATAACATGGATTCCTACTAAATCAGACACACTTCCTTCAACAGTGATTATGCATCATCATAACACTACATAGCAAGGAATCTTCCTTTATAAATTACTCTGCCGTGTGGTAGATGACTGTTCACTTTCCAAAAAGAGTACATTTAGGGCATGTGATATCAGTGTTTATGTGATTAAGCTTTTAATACAAACGAAAGTGTCCCCCTCCTCCAATCAGTGCAGACAATGCAAAAGACCATCGCTCCCATAAGCACCCCAGCCAGGAATGCTCCCGGAGGACATCCTGATGCTCAAGACCAAGTGTGCCTGTCCCGAGCCATCGTGTGGTGACCCTCGTCTTGAGGCACTCGGAGGCTCTGGGGCTGTGTGACAAAGACATGCCTTGTGAGCAGAAATTGGACCATTAAATGAAACTTTCTGAACAGTTGAATTCTTAAAGCCTAAATTGGTATGTCCCGGGTGTGACTACTTAATTGGAACCCTAGAATTTTATGCCAGAAAATTGGGAAGAGGTGACTGTTAAAGACTCCAGGACCCTTGTCAAAATGATTTGTTTCTAGTACAAAAGACTCTTGTTGTGCTTCTAGTGCATGTTAACTGTTGATCTGGTCTTTCTCCCAATTAGTCCCTTTGATACACCTGCAAACGATACTATAATTGAATCACAGTGTTGACAATTAAACTTCAACTCTGTGTTGCTTAATTACATCCCTCTGGGTGGCCCAGAGCACCTGCCACACGTGCTAGTTTTGCAGAAGGCTCCATCTGTGGGCTAACGGGACCAGTGGCTGCTGAGTGAGGCCACTTCCGTGACAGGACCAGAGAATCCCGTGGTGAGAACACCGTGGGCCACTTCTTTCTCTTCTCCATGGCAAGAGGTTTCTCATGCAATTATTTGCAAACTGTACCCATCAATGAGGAATAGTTAAAAGGAGTCTGTTTTATGACAGTTATAAAAGAGTTTGCTCTGTCTGGGCCTTTCTGCCAATTCTGATTAGTATCTGGGTTGGGTTCCTTGTTTTAAGATTTGAAGATTGAGAGTAGAAAAAATCCTGATGAAGATTGAGATTATTTACCTTGGCCCATAATGATTTTAGCTGTGCTGTTCAGTCCTCCTGAGAGTCCACACTCAGAACGGGTAACTGGCCTGGGCTGTGCCCTGTCTGAGGCAGGTCGGCACGTAGCAGCCATCAGTAGCAGCCTCCTGATCCTCGTTTGGCGTTCAGGTTGAGTGTTCTGCTATGACTTTGACCTGAGGAGAGTCAGAATGGACATTCAGAGGTATCTCTCGGGCTCCGATGTCAGAGACTAGGCTTTGCGTACAGAAATGGCCCACGGGGGCAAGCAGTGTTCAACAGCCATCCTCTTTCCTCTCGTTGATTCACTCAGGGCATTGCTCTTTGCATCCTGGCGTTGATCTGAGGTCCCCACCCAGTCTCTTCCTTTGCTCCAGCCCTGAGCTTTGTCTTCTGTCCCAAGTGGCCCATTCATGCCCAGGTATTAGGACAGCAGGGAATTGGTGGTGGCCTCCCGGGCGAACACCAGCTCAAATGCTCTTACCCTGACGTTCTGAGCTCTGAAGCTTTCCTTCAGTTTAGTTACTTTAACAAGTGTGTGTGCTTCTGCATCTTTGCAAGGTTTTCTCTGCACAGCTCGTCTGTCTGTCCTGTTGCTGCCATGGTGCTGTCACCTCCCTCAGCTTATGGCCCCTGTCCTGCATCTTCAACGCCAGCAGCGTCAGGGCAAGTCCTCACGAGTCCTCACGTCTCGTCTCTGACCTAATCGTCTGCCTCCATTTCCTGCTTTAAGAGCTCAGGTGATTAATCATCCAGGATAATCTCCTAATCTCATGATTCTCAATCTTAAACATATCTGCAAACTCCCTTTTGCCATGTAAGGACCACATTTATAGGTTCCAGGGATTAGGTTATGGACATCTAGGGGTTGGGGGAGGGTCATCATTCTGTCTAGCACAGTGATCAGTAAACAACATCCCTTGATTCCCTTCCTTAGTTTAAAACAAAGAGAAAAGGAGACCACAGTATCAGCTTCATCATTCGTTTTATGGATTAGGAAGTTTAGCTTGACCTAAAGCCACAATTAGGGTCTTGAATACCACCCACCCTGCACACAAACACACCCCCCAGATTGAACGTAATCCCCACCACAGACTTCACCTCGCGGGGGCAGAGCTGGTCTCAGAAAGCTTCCTCGGGGACGATGCTCACATCCGGGGCAGACGACTTCCGAGAGAGGTCTTGTCAGCTCTCACCAGAGACTCATTTCTCCTTTGAGGAAAAATTGAGAGGGGGAAGGCAGGGGGGAGGCCACACATGTGGCCTTAGTGGAAACCACCCTCCTTTCCCATGGCACTATGGAAACGGGAGCAGGCCCCTCATCACAGTTCCTGGCTGTTGAGACTTCCTGCAGGGCCTCACCTGTGGTCAGTTTTGAAAAAATGTGTTATATGTGCTTGAACATAGTGTGCCATCTCTGGGTGTTTGGGACATAGTTTGTTGTGTTGATATAGCACTCCTTTATTTTTTATTTTCTTTTGGGGTCTGCTCGATCTGCCTTTCCCCAAGGGGATGGTCACCATTGCTATCTTCATTACAGACTGTGGGATTTGGCTTTGTGAATGTGCGGTGAGGGTTTGTATATCTCCGTTCCTCGTGAGAAGGTCTGTGATTGCCCTTTGCAGGACTTGGGACGGCTACATGGCCCTGCCCTGAGCTCCTGGCTGGGTCCCCCAGGAGCATCCCTCCTGTTCTCTCCTGGACGGAACAGTTAGATCATTTACATCTTCAACTTGTAAAAAAAGCATTTGGCCTGGATTTCCTTTGTGGAAAAAATGGAAAATTAGGGTTCCACTTTTTATAGGACTATTTAGATGATTTTTAAATTTATTTTTATCACCCTGGCCTGTTTGGCTTAGTGGTTAGAGCATCAGCCTGCAGAATAAAGGGTTCGATTCTGGTCCAACGTTCCTGGGTTGCAGTTTGATCCCAGGTCTGGTTATGTAAGAGGCAGCCAATCAATATGTATATGTCTCTCACATCCATGCTTCTCTCTCTCTCCCTCTCCTCCTCCCACTCTCTCTTAAAAAAAAAAAAAAAAATCAATGGAAAAATATCCTCTGGTGAGGATTAACAATACATACATACATACATACATAACAATACATACATACATACATAACAATACATACATACATACGTAAATAAATAGATAGATTTTTATCATTTTATCCAGTGAGTATGTGTGTGTGTGTGTGTGTGTGTGTGTATGCATGCGTGGCTGTTTTTTAAACATTGTGATCAATGCACCTACTTCATTGCATGAAATAATTTAGTTTTATCTTCTGAACACTTTATAGTTCAATCATTCAGTGTCACAATTTGTGTGTGTGTGTGTCTTTATCTTTATTGTTGAAAGTATTACAGATGTCCTCTCTTTTTCTCCCCTATATATCTCTCTTGATAACATCAAAGAACTGGATTTCTTTTATTCCATTATTCAAATTGTTAGTATAAATGAGTGAGCTGAATGTATTTATAATTATTATAATGACTGATATAAAGGTATAGGTGTACATACTTTTCTGTTTTCTGTTGTCCAAGACCACAAAGAGAAAGTTCATGAAAATCTTCATCTTCTCACCCACTTTAGGCCTGACTCATCCTGCATTTATAAAGGGCTGTGTGTGTGTGTGTGTATACTGGAGTGTATGTGTGTGTGTTGGAGTGTGTGTGTGTGTATTGGAGTGTGTGTGTGTATTGGAGTGTGTGTGTGTATACTGGAGTGTATGTGTGTGTGTGTATTGGGGTGTGTGTGTGTATTGGGGTGTGTGTGTATTGGGGTGTGTGTGTATTGGGGTGTGTGTGTATTGGAGTGTGTGTGTATTGGAGTGTGTGTGTGTGTGTTGGAGTGTGTGTGTGTGTTGGAGTGTGTGTGTGTGTATACTGGAGTGTATGTGTGTGTGTGTATTGGGGTGTGAGTGTGTGTATTGGGGTGTGAGTGTGTGTATTGGGGTGTGAGTGTGTGTATTGGAGTGTGTGTGTGTATTGGAGTGTGTATGTCTGTGTATTGGAGTGTGTGTGTGTGTGTTGGAGTGTGTCCAGGAGAGGGGAATTACTCTGCAATTGTGTGGAGATTGGGGGTCTTGCTCTGCTGCTTCCATTTTCTGGCCCGAAGTGTGGCCGGGGCCCTCCTAGTCACCTCTGAGTTTGATCGGTAGGAGCCAGAGAGTGCTGAGCACACACCGGAGTGGGAAACCTAGCAGTTTCCAGCCCCCCAGAGCCAGGGACTTGTTTGTGGAGTGTGATCCATGATTCCCTGTCCTGCACTTTCGGAAAGCAGACCAGCAATCAAGTGGTAATTGTTTCCTTCTGTGTGGCCTTCTCGTCCCAGAGACGGCCCTGGTGAGCACGCAGCCAACTCTTAGGAGAGGGAAGGGACCTGGAATGAGTCATCAGCCTGCTGTGTAACGTGGATGTGGCGGCCCCACGACCCACATTTTCCAGCAGAGGCCTGATTTCACATGGTCCGTCCTGCTGGCCTGATAAACAATCAAATGCCCCAGAAACGCCACCCTCGACACAATCTTTTCTGAAGTGTTTCTTGCTGCTGAAGGAAGCACAGAAATCCTTTATTAGGCTGTGTTGCCCCAGTTGTGGTTGGAAAAATATATCACTGTACTTAAGCAAAAAAGACTTTTTAAAAAAAAAATTTAAATGGTGGGGTTTAGAAAGGCAAAAAACAGTCCTATTTGGGACATATCAAAGGAGAAAGAGCTGACCCAGTATCCCAGATCTCCGAGAAGTCGAAGCTCACTTCCCCTCAGCCACTGGTCCCAGCACATGTGTGGACATCTCCTTCCACATCTCCTGGGCAGGCGCCCAGTGCCAGGACTCTGCCCTCAGAGCCTCAGCGCCTGTCCTGGGGAGATGAGATGTGGATACACAGAGTAACTGACACAGGGTAAAAGTGCGAGTACTCCAGTGGATATAGAGTTTTCCCGTTTGGGGAGATCCAGAAAGTAGCCCCGTTCACTAGCCCCTACCGGCACCCACACACCGTCGCTTTGGCTGCATCGGTGAGCAGAGCGAGTGGCCGGCCTGCCCCGAGTCAGGACCTAGCTCGGGATGAGGGGACCGAGTGCACGTACAAGGGAGGTAGGACTTTGGGGTGATCATAGGTGCAGACAATCCACCACATTAATTTAAAGGGAAACAAGATGCTTCACCTAAAAGCTGAAGAAGGGCATCTCATTGTTTTAGCTGGCATGTTTTGGGCGGTGGCGAGGGCTGGCTGTGTCCCCGGCTGTCTACTGGTGTGAGCTTCCACGCGTCAGCCCCGGTGGGCACAGCCACCCGCCTTCTACAGGACTGAAGGTGGTTTCTGCAGTTCACTGTGTGAGTGATTCTGCTGGGCAGAGGTGGTCTTCTAGGCTTCTCCTCCTCCCCTTCCCCTCTCCTTCTCCCACCTTTGCTCTCTACCAGCTCCCCGCCCATGGTGTCCACCCTTCTTACCAAGGTTCCCGCCTCTCTCGTTTTAGGCACGAAAACAGGTGCAGATATTACTGACGGTACCCGTGAGCCTGGCCTGGCCTCCCCGGCCTCCTACATGAACCCCTTCCCAGTGCTTCATCTCGTTGAGGACCTGCGGCTGGCCCTGGAGACACTGGAGCATCCCCAGGAGAGAGCAGCACTCCTGAGCCAGGTCCCGGGCCCCACAGCCGCCTACATAAAGGAGTGGTTCGAGGAGAGCGCGGTGAGTAGGCCCGTGGCCTTATGGGGAGCCACAGTCATGGAGTCCAAGGAGTGCCGCCACGGCCGGGGATGTTGCTTCATCTGTGCACCTTCCAGTCTCTTCTTGCTTCCAGTCCAGCTTCAGTCAACCCCGCAGAGCGGTCCTTCCCAGGAGGGAGAACCCAGTCCAACAGCTTAAGCCACATGGTCAGCCTGCCTGTGCTCGCCATCCCCTCCTGAGAAAGGGAAATCCAGGGCCAGAGAAGAGTAGACGCAGATTTCCACCCCGGGTTCCGTGGACCACTCACTGAGTTATAATCCCTAGGTGGGCGATCTGGCCCCGGCTAAGTCCCCTGCTCCTTGTTCCTTACAGACTGGAGCCTTGTCACTTCATTTGTTCCTTGACTGCTGCCCCTCCTCTTCACACCTCCTCGCCTTTGAAGTGCTTCCTATCCCCAGAGTAAGTGCAGGCTTCCTTACCCTGCTCCTGCTCTCTCTGGATCGAGCCCGCACACCTGCTAGTCTAAGGGCGGCAGATGAGTAACCAGAGCTGTAAGTAGGTGGCTTTGGTTACTCATCCACCACCCTGTGGAGACCAGCTAGTCAACATTAAGAGACAAGTAACTTCTGGGAATGGGTCAGGCGAGGGCTAGCCCACTGAGGAATTGATGGGGAATGCAGTCATTCCAGGGCTGGAGGGAGGAACGCGGCAGCCAGAGGAGGCATGTGATTACCTGAGCTGAGTTGGAGAATGAGAGCCGGATGCAATCCTCTAAAGATCAAGTCCTGCAAACCTGAGTCAGAACTGGAAAGTATGCACAGAGCAAGGAAGGCAGGAACGGCATTGCATCAGGAGGGAGGGCTTGATGTTGGAAACTGTAGACTCACGAGGTCGGGACACCCTTGTCCAGAGGCCATACCACTTGTTACAGGTTATATCCCAGATGTCTCAGCCTGCCTTTTGTTCAAGAGGCCTCTGGCAACAGTCTCATCCCCATGCTAGTCTGAACACTAAAGAATTCATTTTATTCATTATTTGTGCCAGTCAATGTTTTCAGTACACAGCCTGGTGCTCTGTATATACCTATACCAGTGTGTGGGGAGAATGATGGCCCCCCAGAGATGTCTCCATGCTATTGCCAGAACCTGTGAATAGGGTATGTTAGACGGCAAAGGGGAAAGTAGCAAAGTAGCAGGTGTAATCGAGGTTGCTAATCAGCTGAGTTTAATATGTTTTTTTCTTAGAGAGAAAGGGAGCGTGAGATAGAAATATCAATGTGAGAAACATGGTTTGTGGCCGCCTGCACGCCCCCTACTGGGGACCAAGCCTGCAACTTGGGCATGACCGGGAATCAAATGGGACCTCTCAGTTCATGGGACGATGCTCACTCCACTGAGCCACACTGGCCAGGCTTAATCAGCTGAGTTTTAAAATAGCTTGGGCTATCCAGGTGGGCCCAATCTAATCCTGGAGTCCAAGGAGAAGGAGGAGGCAGAGCCAGTGTCCGAGTGAGGGATTCGAGGACTCCGGGGCTGTGATGCTGGCTTTAAAAATGGAAAGGGGGCCAAGAGCAGGAATGGAGGCAGCTGCTAGGAGCTGGGAAAGTGGACTCCCCTCATCCCCTTGAGCCTCTGGACAAAACACTGCCCCCCCAGCACCTTGATGTTAGCCCCATGAGACCCATTGCAAACTGTAAGATAATACATTTGTGTTGCTACAAGCCACTTTGTTTGTGGTAACTTGTTAACGCAGCGATAGGAATCTCATACAGACATTGCTTAGAGAGGGAGGTGGAAAAAGTTGCCAGGTGGGTCGCAGGGGAGCCGGTTACAGTTTAACTTTGAAAGTTTGCCCCTCATCTCCTCCCCAAATCAAGACAGACTGGTACTGATAGGCCAGAAACCCCCACTGTGTGGTTATTCGTGTCACCGTGGTTGGGAGTTGCAGGGGGAATGGCTTCAGTAGTGAGTTCTCTCTCCTCTCCCAAGCAGAGGGGCCCCTGTGCTTCCCTGGCGTTCCACGAGGGACCCCCCACTATTGCTGTACCCCACAGTGCTGGTCCTGGCTTCTCTGCAGTCACCTCTGGCCGTGCTTGGCCCCCCTTCTCCGGGAGCTGCAGCTCCCGTGGCCCGTGTTACCCCAGGCACGGGCACATCCTTCTCTCCATCCTGCCCGCACTGCGGACTCAGGCTGCCGTGTGTGAAGATCATTTTATGATAGGCCATTAGTCTGTCACTCTGAAACCCTTGGTCCAGGTGTGTTTTAGAACACAGAACTCTTGCACTTCAGAAAGGTGAGACAGTGCTTATATATCATATAATATATACCGTCTCTAGCAGATACAGGGCAGGGAACACGTGGACATTTCTTCAGAAAAACTGTGCGCATCCACGTGAAGTGGGATCAAGAAAGACTACGATGTTCTCCTGCCCAGTTAGGTCAGGTTTTGCTGCCAAATGAGAGATTATTTAAAAAAAAAGAGAGAGAGATTTGGTATTTTCAAAAAATGGTATTTTCAGAGCTTTTTCTGGGTTTCAGAATTGCAGGTAAAGGATGGTGAACCTACATGAACGATATTCCACTGCAGAAAACAAAACTTAAAACCAAGTACTAGGTATCGGATGCCACCATTCCCAATGTCCATCAGACATAATCCCTCTCCGAGAGTCACTTGTTAACTCTCTCTGCCCTTGGCCTGGCCTCTCACCATGGGCCTGGGTCCCTTTGGTGACTCACAGCCTTCTCCCCGGTTCCCTGAACCTTGCATGAGGCTGCAGAGCAGTTTTGCACGTTCTTATTCTAAACGCCCCATCTCAGCTCTGCTCAGGACCTTAGCACACATAACCAAGGGATTCGCTGAAGTGCCTTCCCCTGCAGACCCAGTCTGCCCCGAGTACAGAGACTAGCTGGTGTTTTTGTTCTTTACTGTACTGTAACTAGGTACTTTTCACCTTGTGTAGATGTGCGTGAATTTGTGGCCATTTCTCTAATATTGACATTTTGAATTATTTTAAATCTTTCACTAATATATGGCATTGCTGCAGAGAATGTATTTGTCCAAAAATATGTGTCTTTATATCTAGATATTTCCTTAACGTAGAGACCTAAAAATGGTATTAACAGAGTTAAAGTAGAGCGAACAGACAAAATACAAGATGCTCAGTTAAATTTGAATCTTAGACAAGAAACAAATAATCTTTAATAAGCATGTCCCATGCCGTTTGCAAAATCTGGCAGCTCTAATCCAAAGGTATTAATATCTTTGACTCATTTTTCCAAACCACGTTTTAGAAAGATTTTACTCATTTATATTTTCATTAGCAGGGTTTTTGTGCATTCTGATCAACAATAATCATTAAAATAAAATAAAAATAGCTTTACTAATTTTATAGGGAAAATGTTTTCCTTTTATCATTATTGCATTGCTTTGTTTAGTAGGAAAGTTAGGCCTTTTTTTTTTTCCATTAGTTTAATATTTTTCTTCTGAATGGTCTTCAAACTGTTGATCTCATACTCTTATCTGAAATACAATTCATTCTCCATATATGCACATTGCCTAAGCAGTAAAGTCCTAATGTATGCAAATTATAAAACATCCCCCAAAATAGAGATTTTTTTTAAAGGACAGATTAAAAAATAGTTGCAATATTTTCTTCAGACACATCCCAGTGCTCACTTTGGGTCCCTGAGTGTGTCTGCCAGACCCTGGTCTTTTTATATTTTATGCTTTTTTACTATTAGAATTTTTATGCTTTCTTTATGTATTTAAATGACCTTTATTATTGGCTCTTTGCTATATTTGCAGCATTTATTTTCTTCACATTGTTTTTAAATGTCATTTGTGGTGCTTTTTGAGACATGGAATTTAAAAGGATTGTAGTAGTTAACTCTGTCAATCTTTCCTGTTTGGATTTCCTGTTTTCCTTTTATCTCTAGAAAGGCCTTCCCCAGCCTCCGGCCAAATATACTCAACCTCTGTCTTCCTCCAGTAGGTTTGTGGTTTGATTTGTAGTTTATAGTTAACATAAATTCATCTGCAGTGTTTTTTAGTGTGTCATGTGAAATATGGGCCTTTTATAATTTACCCAAAAAATTAAAGAAAAATTTTTTTTTAATTCAAAAGCAGTCAATGTGGTTATTGGTTTTTGTAGGATTCATTGCAAAAACAGCTTGTGTTCAGATATCTGTTGCAATTATTGTAGTTCTCTTTTGCGGTTATTTACAATGGTTGGCGAAATGCCTTCCTTTGGAGAGATTTTTCTAAAAATTGTTGCATTCATAAATCTTTTAGAGTAATTATGGCCATCAACAACCTATGAATGGTGTACTTTTAGGGGGTCAAAAGTTCATATAAACATTCCATGATAACCAGGGATGAATGTTAATGTTTTGATTTTGGACAGAGACAGCCTGTCTGCATTTTAGGTCGTGCAGACCTGAAGTCATTTTGCAATCTGGGCACACTCACATTCCATAGTCGGTCTTATCTATATGGAAATAGCATCTAATGCAGTGCGCCAACCCGCTAGTACTTTTTAGATGGGCACTTTTAGTTAGAAGCCCTGCTACTCAAATTGTGGTCTATAGACCAGCGGCTTTGGCATCCCTGGTAGCTTATAAGGGAAAAAGTACGGAATATGGACCCCCTACCCTAGACCCACTGAACCATCGCCAGGCGATTCATATGGACATTAAAGTTGGAGAAGCACTGCCTCAAACCACCGAGACTCACTTGAATTATTTGAAAAATTAATCACATATGGCTTAGAATTGGAATGGGAACCAGTAAGGCAGCTTGAGGGATCAGGCAGGCCTTGTGCCTTCTCATTCGTGATACCCGTGCATCACCTGAATGTTTACATGATTCTCTTTAGACAACTGGCTTTGTCCTGTACTTCAGCTGCTGCTTTGCTGTACGTTGGCCTGGCATGACGTCTCTGCCTTCTGACATCTGCCTTCTGACATCCCTGTCAGTTGGGATTCTTTCTCCAACAGTGGCACACACAATAAGAGGTTTATGT